TATCTTTCTGATAAAGATAATAAATTGCTTGTCATAAACTAGGTTTCTCTGATTTCTAGTTTCCTTTTCTAGTCCATTACCCCAAATGATACAAATTTAAGCAAATTTAAGCAAAAGTTTCATTTCAGGTCATAGAACTTAGTGCTGCAATAAAGGATCTGAATGAAATTCCTCACAAAATATAATTAGAAGAACAATGAAAGCCAAATCCAAATGTCCCAGCACCCCACAACACTAAAAGGCAGTCTAGTAATTGCCAAATTATATTTGGCCTCAACATTCAAGGGGTTCTTTTTTATTTGGGCAGAGAAAATAGGACTAAATAACATTACAATAACCACACAAGACTACGAATGCAATTATAAAATAAGCCATATCCTAGCAGGCAAATCATTTTAATGTGTTTCGAGAAATGAATACTCTGCATGGAATTAAAGAAAAAAAAAAATCATCGTGCAGGAAATTAATTATAAAGAAATAAGACACATAAAATTACAAATACAAAAGCAGCAAATTAAAAAACAAGCACATGATTACAGATTTTGATAGCATTAGTAGCCAGAACATACCAAACGAATTACTTAATTGTCAAATATATTACTCGTTTTGACAGAAGGCTGATGGTAATGATTAACTTTGATTGATTCCAAAGGACTTTATTTGTCCTTCAAATTCAAGGAAACCTGTAAAGATGGCCTCCAGTCTCTTGGAAAGGGCGTTCTTTTTCTCAAAGAACTCACCTGCCAGGGGTTTTCCCTGCCGCCCACCAGATTTGTACATTCACTCAACTCTTTTAGCTAAGGCAACCAAAAGACAATTTCTTGAGATCCCTAAAACATCATCAGAAGCCACATATTCTACCCATGTTAAAAAAAACAAAAACAAAAAAACCCACAAAGAAATGAACAACCTCCAATGTTGAGGGCAAAAATTATATAAAGTGCAAGACGGTTCACTGTTACAGATTCCGTGGTCTTCATGCTAAAATGTCTTTGAAAGAATGGGTGGATGAGAGTGGATCAGGACCCCAGCCATGCCCTGGGTTGAGAAATAACCCGTATGAGAAAGGTGATCTGTGGATCTGTCCTCAGGTATCTTTTCAACTCTGTGCACACTGCTGAGGTAGGAGCTTTGGAGTACGGGATGTCTCAAGGGAGTGAGGGTCCTCTTGGCTAACAGTGCCCTCTTGCTCAGTTGGGGGCCTAAGACAGTCATGGTTCATATTCATCGGCCATGTGCGACTTTACAAAACTTAAGAGTTGTATCAGACCACAGCCACGGGAGAGAGAGCAAGATCCAAGACAAAGCCACAGGAGGCGGGCAATATCCTGGCACCAACTACGGGACATCTGCTGTCTAGTGCAAGCTCAAGGGGATAGGGACCAGGGAGTGAGGTGGGAAACCCGGGCAGGCAACCTACAAAACGGTTATTAGCAAATGGTATCAAAAAGTATCAAAACATTTTTAAAAACTTTAAAAACTGCCAGGCCTGGCAGACACACTCTGCAGGATCTCCGCGTACCTGTGGAACTGCCCTGTGCTCCAGAAGTTTGTCCTGGAGGCCAGGACACCACCCCCTTCCTCCGAAGACCTTCAGAATCGGCAGAGACAGCGAGGATGTGGCCAGGCCATGGCTGGAACTGCCTCTCCAGGTTAGGGACTAACAGTCTGAGATTCTGGCAAAAACTCCAAGAGCTAAAAAGCCTGTGAGGTACTGCTTGGGCTGGAGCTGGCCGAGCCACATGCCATGGAGGACCAGGGTAGAGAGAAGCTGGCAGCTCTATATGGGGGTGTATGTGGGGGGGGGGGGGGAGTCCTCTCCCAACCCACATTGCTCAAACCAGCAAAAGGTTATTAACTCCCAGACTTGGAGCCAGGGACTTTGAACCACAGGTAAACTCACCTTAACTCACAGAGGGAGGGAGACCCTGGACCTCAGGGGAGGGACTCCACCTGCTTCTGGCATTTGGGTTTCCACCCAAACTGAACACCTCTTAGGGTTGGCTTCTGGGGTTTCTATTAAGTCATCATGAGGTCAGGTCACCTGTCAGTCAGGGGCAAGGGGAGGGACATTCAGAATATAATACACACATGGATTTCCTGCTCAGATCAAAATCTGGAAGTTCTACCCGGTAGTCTAGCTAACGTAGCAGAATGCTAAAAATATTGAGTCATCCATACAAGCAGGTTGCTGAGACAGTCTCCGTGTAGCTTCAACAGCAGAAAGACCACCCTTAGGAACAAGGGTTTCTCCAGCTTTTCTATCCCCTCCCATTATTCCATTTATGTCTTAAGAGCAAACAAGTTCCAAGTGGGATGAGGATCAAACTCAAAACCTACACCTAATATAACGTTAAAACTCTAGTTCTTTAAAAAATGAGGGAAAACAAAACAAACAATAACAAAATCTGAATAGAAGCCCACCATACTTATTTTGAAAGATGGAAACAAACGATCCAGAGACTCTCACAGTTCTGCCTGGAGCGCTGACAATTTGATGGCACAGTGGCAAACGTGGCTGTTTTCATCTCAAGATGGCAGCCTGCAAAGATCTGGGCTTTTGTCATTTTGGTTGGAAACGACGCCTTCAAGATTTTGCAGTTCAAATGGCCGCCTGCCAAGCGGAGTTGAAGCCATTTCCTTCCATTCTTAGTTGGACTGCACAGTGGTGATTTCCATCTTGAAACATGGACAGCGAAAACCATGCTGGCCCCACCACAGACTCCAAGGAACTTTCTTAGTGTAAGTGGAGCCACCACCAATTATTTGAAGTTGGTTCACAAGAGGACACTTACTTATCAAGTTCACCTTTCAAGCAACGTCCCCTCCACCTCCATATTAGCTCCTAAGCCGTGTGGATCACCAAGTGCCTTCATAGTGAGAGGAGAGACATCACAAAATACTAGGCACAGGATATTGTAAGACCAAGGCACAAGTCAGAACAGAGGCCAGAGGCCTGCATCCTGGGACACGTCCTGGCGGTCAAAAATAAAACAGCTGGCATAGGCTACAAACTGATAGCTGGCCCAAGGTCAAAGTCCATCTGTCTCCCAAGGCACAAAGTCTTTCTATGAGCTCTTCCCCTCCTGCCCTTGGGTTCTGGTTGACCACCTCTTTGACTTGGGTTGAGCAAGGGAGAACAGACCATAGATTCTGTGCCTCCTAAAGGGTCTTTGAGCAAGGAACCCTTTCCTGGAAAAGGAGGGGCTAAGCTATCCCATTGTTTGTAGAAGTTCTGCAAAATGTGTTTTGTGGAAGGCTGAGCCTTTAATACCCAGAAGGGTTGTCAAGCCACAGTAAGAGTATAGTTTTTCAGTTTGTTTGTATGCCTTGCAGAACTTCTTAACAGTGTGTAAGCCTCTAGAGAGATTCCCATATACAAGAAACTAGCTAACTATGCAGACTGCTTTCCCAACTAGCAATCGAGGGCCATCATTTGGGTAATGAAGCTTTAAACGCCCACTCACAGCTCTCCTGGTTGCTATAAAAGTCATGGAAAACCTTGAAAGGAAGTGCAGTAAAGAGATAAAAATAAAATAAAGTTAATTGAGATTCTTATTCTAACATCAATGCTAACAATGCATCTCGAAATTTTCCTCATCTCTGCCAAGGTATAGACCATTAATGCCTTTTTTGGCCCATGATTAAAAGTGATCTCATTCCTTTCCTCCCATCATACTTTGTGATACATAGTACCTTGGGACAGTAGTGTCAAACTCTTCTTCAAGGGCACAGACTCTTGATGCTCTAGTAACTGCAGAAATCAGTGCTGGGTGGTCACAGATCTCAAAAGGAGATGCTGAGTATTTTAATAGTGTATACAGACGGAAAGAGCTTCACCCCAGGGAGAAGCCTAGCCATTATTTCCTCTAACCCTGTTGCTTAATGAATGAGGAAACAGCTAGTTCATGACTTATTAAAAGAATTTGCCCAGCAGCACAAAACTACTTAGCAGCCGGTGGCTGGGACCGGGGCCTGTCGCTTGAGTTGGTGAGACACGCAAAACCTTCTGAGGGGTTAACATGCGCTCACTTGTGTAGGCTTTCAAGAAATGCTTCTAGGAGCTGCAGTCAGAGAACAATGCTAAGTTCTAGGGTGCTGCCTTTTTCTTTCCTGAGAAATAGATGTAGATTTGGGGGCTCAGTACATCAGAAACAGTGGGTGCCAGGAAAAAGAGAACATTAAAAAAATAAAAAGCACAAATGGTAGAATAATGCTTATAAAGAGCTGCAGGCCTTGTTTTCCCTTCTTCCCTGAATACTTAAACCCTTTTAGAATTCAGGAAGATTACCAGGAAAACTGCGTATTCAGAAACAACAGCCACTTGATAAGAAAATCCCAAGGGGGACACCTCCCAGGTGAGAAGTCCAGGTGTCCCTGGCTGACCTGGAGAGCCCTGGTCACTCTCTCACCCTCGCCAGGTCCCTGTGTCCCCACTTACAGAAACAAATGCACTTGACCCTGCCAGTGATTCCCTAATGGGGCTGATGTTCAGCCACGCCAGGAACTGGTTAGAGTTTCCAGCCACTCCCTTCATCACTCCTGGTTAGATGCAGGCATTCTGAGGCGGGGTCCAGGACTCTGCATTTTTAAAAGCTCCGCCAGGTTTGGGGAGGCTCAGGGCTGGAGGATCAGAAATGTTCCACCGAAGCCTCTAGTTTCCGCTACAAACATTTCTATGTAACCCCTGCCCTGGCTACCCTCAGGGGGAGGTGCTTGCAGTATCCCCCAAAATTTGTAATGTGGAGAGAAGCCCTGTATAGACATAAGGGGATATTTCCTGTCTGGGCCGAGGTTTAATTACTCAAGCAAGATAATATGTAAAGTTACGTAGAATATTTAATCGATTACGGTGATATTATAGAAATACTAAGAATCATAAAAGTAAAAAAAGCTGCTAAGGGATACATAATGGTTTCAGGGTTCTATGAAGTCGCTGCTGGTCCGCAGACGCTCTGGGAGGTGGCGGTGGGGACCAGGTCCCAGCAGGCACAGCGGGGTCACTGGCCCCGGTCCTGGTGCCTCTTGGCCTTGCCCTTCTTCTTCTTGTCCTCCAGCCGTGGCTTCAGGGCGCAGACGCAGGCGGACACGCCGGCGATGGCCTTGGGCAGGTCCGTGCCTTTGCTCCACTTGTCCTTCTCTCGGTCATACACCTGGACCGTCTTGGAGAAGGCCGTGTTCTCCCAGCTGTAGCCGCCCAGGATGTAAATGCGGCCCTCCCACACGGCCACGCCCGACTCGCTGTTGGCATGCAGCAGCGGGGCCACGCGGGTCCACTGGTTGCACTGCGGGCTGTAGGCCTCCACGCCCAGCACGTCGAAGCGCTCCATGGACTCCACGCTGTCGTCGCTGCCCCCGATGGAGTAGATGTGGTCCTCCAGGCTGCACATGCTGTGCCAGCCCCGTGCCGTGGTCATGGGCCGGCGCTCCTCCCACACGTCCGTCCGGTGGTCGTAGCACAGCAGGTTCTTGCGGTAGGGGCCGATCTGGTAGTCGTGGCCCCCCGAGATGTACACGAAGTCTTTGTAGATGGTGCCTGCGTGGCCGTAGGTGAACCTGTGGGGATGGACAGAGACAGAGAGGGAGCTCAGTACTGTCCTGGGCGGGGCCTCCAGGAGCCGAGGCTGCAGTCTTCCTCGCAAAACGGGGACAGCCTGTCGTCTTGTGAGGGGCGTGTGAGGATGTGAGGGGCCAATGCAGGGAGCGGGCACCCTGTGAACTCTCTATAGATGGCAGCTGTCACCGCACAGGAAGTAAACAGCTGTGCAGTCACGACTGCCTGGGCAAGAATTCCCAACTCTGCCCCCTCTCCATTTCCCCACCTGAGAAATGGGCATAATCACAAGACTGCTTTCCTTCTCATAAGGCTAGAAACAGCAACAGCATGCTACTGAGGCACACACATGTATCTGACCAAATTATATAGCAGTGGGGAATGAAGTGAGGTACATATGAACTCCACCCATAAGGTTCTGAAAAGTCAAGACTAGGGAGACAGGAAATGTCAGTGGTGGCCAGCAGTTCGGAGGCAGGGGACAGGGATGACGCAGTGGAGCACAGGGACCTCAGGGCAGGGACACTACTGTGTGGGTCTGTAATGGTGGGTACCTATCCACTGGAACTCAGGAAGTGAACAGACTCAGAAACTGAGAAATCTTTTGTCTGAACGGCCAGCCTAAACAGGAGCCCTGACTTTCCCTCTGCCTCTCATGGTCTACTCTCTGGTATTTACAAGCCAGAAGACTTTTCCTGGAATTAGAAGCCTTAAAATCCAGAAAGTGAGGTGAACTGAATTGTAATCCAAAAGTCATCACATTCGAAGAGTTCACCCCAAACCCCCCATTACCTTGGCAAGCCGGCCACGTAGGACCAGGAGTCGGTCTTGGGACTGTAAGTCTCTACTGAAGAGAGAGCTCCATTCTCATTCCGGCCACCGACGGCCACCAGCATGTCTTCAATGGAGGCCAGGTAGAAGTCCACGCGGCGCTGGTTCATGGAGGCCACCTGCGGAGGCGAGACACCTGTACCTTCCCTTCCCCAAACCCTGGACAACATCAACATCCAGCACCACTTCCCAGCGGCGTTCTGTGGAACCAGCCCAGAGAGCGAGGCAGTGGCCAATGAGTCTGGCGGAAGGGTGTTAAACTTAAAGAAAGAAGGGTCCTTTCGGACGGACTTCTCCGTCCCCAAGGACCCTTGAGACATTAGCCAATCCCCAAAAGGGGTTTGGAGAACACGGCTCCCCAAACTTGTTTGGCCACAAGGCTAGCCTCATGTACTTGAATTCTGAGGACAAAGTTTATCATTGCTCATTTAGTGATTTCTTAAATCATTTTTCCTCTTGACAACCTCTCAGATAGGTTTTTAATGAATGCTGATTGCCATTGTGTTAACAGGCAGAAAATAGAACTCAACAGGAAATTGAAAAGCAAAAGACCCAACTTTTTTTTTTTTTTTTTAAATAATCCAAGCAGAACACACAAGTCAACACAGTCCTGCAGGAGACCATCGTTCAGGCTGCCACTGCCACTGAGCTTTGGAGGACAGGCTCCAAAGCCAGGAGCTTCTTTCCAGCGTCAGCACTTACACCTTGGTGGGTGTTTTTAGATTTTCGAGAAAAAATAAAAAGATTAGCAGAGTCCATTCTGAGTTTTGAGCTCCGAACAAAACTACGTTAAAGCCCCTGAGGTCTGAGGATAAAGACTGAGACCGACTTTCGTGGATGAGGTCTAGAGAGGTGTTTGTGGGCGGGAAAGGAACCTTTTTCACCTCTGCCAGGTACTGGCCAATCAACAGGAGCTACATACAGCCCCTCAACCTGGAAGGCCAATGCCCTTTTCCCACCCAAGTGCAGAGGAAGAAGCTGAAATTTGGAGAAGAAAAGGGACCAGACTGAAATTCCCAGCTACAACTCAGCCAGATTGGGGTGTGAACTCAGGTCTGACTCCAAGACCCACGGTCTCCCCAGAATTGGCCACCGTACCTGCCGGATGTGAGGCCAGCTCCACACCTTTCCAAAGAGGAGCGTGGCCGGGACTCTGAGCCACGGGAGGAATGTTTGAACTATGGTCAAATCTCTAGCCTGACAATATCCAATGGGGTAGACACTAACCTCGTGTGGCCATTTACACACAAATGTAAACTAAAGTGAAATCAAATATGAAATTCAGTCCTTCAGTCTCACTGGCTACATTTCAATAGCTCAGCGGCCACACAGAGCTGGTGGCTACTACATTAGAAAAGCACAGACCTCGAGCGGCGTTTCTAGGTGCAGAAAGCTCTAGACTGACCCTGCAGGTCAGCCCGCACTCCCCCAACCAGGTTCAGGCACAGGGGAGGGTGGGAAGTAGGTGGCTCCTCACTTTATCATCACACCTTCCTCAGAAGCAGGAATGGGTCAAGGCCAGAAAGAAGGGAGGGGCAGTCAAGGTTAGGTTAAGAGAGAGCAAAAGTCCTCAAGAGTAAAGAAAGAATCTGGCTTTAATCTCACCTTGATCCACTGTTTACAGCGGGGGTCATACCTATAAAGAAGATTGGACGCCGCGTCCCCTCCATTGTCCCTCGAGAAGCTGCCGCCGGCGATGAAGATGAACCCCCCCAGCACAGCAACACAGTGGTGACTCCGTCGGGCCGGCAGGGGCGTCTCCTTGACCCACTGCTCGCTCTTGGCGTCCAGGTAGCAGGTGTCGTCGCTGAGCTCCAGACACCGCTCGGAGACCTCGCCGCCCACGAACAGCAGGCGCTCCTCGTTGGTGCGGAGCGCCGTGCGCTTGGTCTGCATGACGGGCTGGGCTGCCAGGCTGTTGTGGTAGCGCACTGCCTCCTCGATGAAGCCCTCGCAGTTGGCCTCCCTGGGCAGCAGCGAGCACACGGCCGGCTTGACGCGGTGCAGCAGGTCGTTCTTGGGGATGAGTGGGAAGTGGATGTGCTCCAGCACCTGGTAGGCGTGGGCCTCGCGCTCCGGCTGCTGTGTCAGCCACTGTAGGGCGGCCTGCAGCAGGTCGTGCTCACACTCCCGCTGCACCTCGCTGCTGCTCAGGTACACGCAGAGCTTCTGCATGGAGATGTTCTGCAGGAAGTCCGGAGTGAAGGACAGGGTGCCAAAGTGGCTCAGGATGAAGCCGTCGATGAAGGCGTCCAGCCGCTTGAGGCTGTAGATGGAGGCCAGCTCCTGCAGGTACAGGTAGTTGTCCTCGCTCACCTCCTGCTCCAGGTACTCACAGCAGAAGTCCACCACGGTCCAGATCTGCAGCAGGTGGGCCGTCTCCAGGATGTAGTCGATGTTGCCACCGTCCAGGGCCAGCTCCCCGCCGTACAAGAAGTCCACCACGGCCTTGAGGCCGATGTAGGAGGCACCAATCAGCTCCACCTCCTTCTGGAAGGCCTCACGCATGCCCAGGGTGAACATGGAGTTGAAGTAGTCGCTGCACACGGCCAGCAGGTTGCGGTGGGCTGGCACGCGCTGCTCATCGGCCACCAGGACGATGTCACAGAAGAGGCCACACAGACGCTGCTCGTTCAGCCGCTGCAGCACTGTGGTCGAGTGCTCAGACCAGCGGTACACCTGTGGGAGAGCACGTGTCAGGGGCTCGAACCTGGGCCCAGAGAGGGGAAACGTGCCAACCTGCCCCCTCACTGCTGCAGGAGTCAATCTAGTGGGACACGACCAGCATGTAAAATACAGTGGTTAGAGTGCTGACCCAAGGACTGAAGGGTCACAGGTTCAATTCAGGTCAAGGGCATATACCAGGGTTGCAGACTGAATCCCCAGCCCAAGTCAGCATGTGTGGGAGGCAACCAATCAATGCCTCCCTCCCCCTCCCTCCCCCCCCTCTCTCTCTCTCGGTGGGAGGCAACCAATCAATGCCTCTCTCTCCCCTCTCTCTCTCTCTCTCTCTCTCTCTCTCTCTCTGTCTTTGCCCCCTCCCTCCTACTCTCTAAAAATCAATGGGAAAAACATGTCCTCAGGTGAGGATTAACAAGTAAATATAGTGGACTGAAGGAGCGTGGGAAACAAAATACAGTGCATTGCAGGAAACAAGAGTGTTTATGTGTATTGGATATATCTTCCTTCTTTGTAAATGAATTTCCTAAATCAATCTTCCTTCCTTCTTTCCTCTCTTCCTCTTACCAGGTCTTCCTCTTATCTATTTTCCTTCTTTATAAACAAAATTCCTAAAAGGTTTCCTTTTTCCTTCCCTCCCTTCCTTTCTGTGGCTCAAGGGCACACAGATTTGAAAAATGCTGTCCTGTCAGGATAGAGAAGTGGCTTCAGACGCAGACTCTAAGGTCAAACAAAATTGAGGTTTGCATCCAGCTCTGCCACTTATAATACTAGCGATGTGATCTTGGTTGAGCCACAGGGAGGCTCTGAGCCTCCATGTCCTCATCTCACAGGTGAGGATGAGGACACTCACCACTCAGGTGGCTGAGGAGCTGAGGTGTCACGGCAAAAAGCCTCCCTAAGGAAAGCTGCTGTAATTAGCATTCCCCACTGAGGCTCTGTGCCGGGAAAGACAGCTTTCTCTGTCTTAGAAAGGCATGTGGCGATGCTACAGAGACCTCCATTTCTAGCGATCCAAACTAAGTGCTCTGGAGACCCTCATTCCAGAAACATGGCTTCCTCAGCCACTGCCAGGGTTGAAAGAGATACAATGAATGTGAAACGCAGAGACACTGTCTTTTTCTGGGGGCTTGCATGTAGCCTGCACTGTGCCATGCACTTGACACGCACTCTCATTCGAGCATCATGAAAACCCTCCAAGAGAACATCTATTATAATTCCCATTCTCCAGATGAGAAAAACTAAGGCCAGAGAGACTAAGAAACTGGCCCGAAGCCCCATTGTGATTGCGGCAGAGCTGAGATTTGAAGGCAGGTCTGATTACAGAGCCCAGACCTGTAATCACCACGCTACACTGCAATGAACAAATCAATTAATATGAATAATGAATAGGAATCCATTCCATAGATTCAGATCGGCAGATACTTATTCCGTGCTATATGCCTGCCATGTGCTTTTGAGGATACAAAACTATGTCAGACCCAGAAAAGTTTCTAAATCCTTGGAGAACTAATTATGCTTTGGGCGTTCAGAATTCTGCACGCTTGCTTATTTCCTCACTATAAAAACAACAAGAACATTCAATATGGGAAAAACAGGCCTTCAGAAACATCAGCTAGGGAGTTTGTCGATTTGAGGATGACTGAGGAAAGGACTAAGCCTGAAAAGGGGAAGGTGAGAAAAGGAGAAGAGGAAGATGGACTGAGGGCTCAGCTGTGAGACTGGCTTCCAGGTCCCCGAATTCTTACAGGTTCTTGTCAATGTCTATCCTACAGCAATGGTTTTCATTCCCTCACCCCCTTCCAAATCTACTCCTTACTGCCTCTATCACACTTATAATTGAGGTCCTTTATTTCCCCGTAGTCCTGCCTGCTGACCTTGTCTGGATAATTCCAACATTAAGCGCTCCACCTACATCGCAGGCACAGACAGAGGCCTCACATTCTGATGAGGACACCAGACGAAAGCTTCCTTCCCATTCAAGTTGAGAGAGCCAGACTCACTGCTCTCATGTTCCAGGACGGCTTCTCCTGGGTCCCATACATGGATAGCTCTGCGTATCCTGCTTAGTAGCAGAGAGCCAGGCTGGCCTGGTTTTGGCTTCTAATTTAGCAGGGATGGTCTGGGCTCCAACACACACAGGCTTGGGGCCCCTCTTAGGCGTGGACCGAAGGAGGGAAATGATAAATGGCAGCAGCAGGCTCCCCTGTAATAGGAAAGGCTTGGTGTCCTGAGAGGAGTGAGTGAGGGGCATCAGGTGGGCTGTCTGCCCACCCTGGGCCCCTGTTGTCTCTAAGCTGAGGAGGGTGCCGAGACTTACGCTTCAGTTGGGGTACACATGACCCCACTCTGCTGAGTAAAAAGGGAAACAGCTCCAAGGGGCGGGGACCGGGGAGAGCCCGGATGACAGCTGCCAAGGGGCACCATCTGCTGCAGGGAGCCAGGGCAGGGAAGAGGGCAGCGCTGCTTCTAAAACCGGGTCTCCACGCTAAGCAGGTGCATTTAACTCTGTACCTGGTTATTTCAGTGTGGCTGCAGACAGAACTTTCAAAAAGCAGACAAGACGATTTCCCAGTTTTAAAGGTAACAGACTTGCAGCATTTTATATGATTTTGAAGCCCCGGCCTCCAACATTCTCTGATGGTATTAACCCTGGTTATTTCTTTGTTTTCCATGTCAGTGCTTTTATCAGAGGCAAGGCAGGGTGGGACTCAGGAGCTAACCCTGGACAGACGCAGCAGGTATGGGGTACTCAGAAGAATGCAGCATCAACATGGACCAACACATTTTAGAACCAACACATAGTTAAATGAACTGCGCTGGGAAGGAACAATCTATCCCTAAACACATCAGCTGTGAGAATCTCAGCTGCATCATGCTGAGTGCAAGGAGCCAGGCACAAGAGCACCTGCCCTCTGGTTCATTTACATAAAGTTCAAGGGCAGGCAAACCTGCAGGTTGGAAGTCCAGAGAGTGGCAATGTAGGGACTGGAGAGGTTTGGTAATTTCTTCTTTTTTTTTTAATCTGGGTACAGGCTACATGGGTGTGTTAATGTCTAGAAAATCAGGGTACACTTATAGCATTTATGTTATAAATGCAATCAAGCAAAGGATAGAGAACCCTAATCCTAAAAACTTTGATTCAGAAAGAAACCAATTCAGAGTCTGGCTTTCAGGGACAAAGATCTCCAGCGCTATCAAACTTAGAAAGTGACACTGTCTCCGCAGCCAGGCTCTGAGACAAAGCCCCTTTGAGACGGCAGGGAGACCTTCCTGGGCTTTCACAGCAGATAAAGCCAGGCTTGGCAAGCCCTCCCGGGACACGCAAAGGAAACAGGAAACCGTTTCTCAGGAGGCCGGCCTCTCCTGAAAATTACAGCCCCGCTTTCTTGTAGGCACATCTGTAGAACCGCTTTCTCTCATTTTTCTCTCAAATCCAGGGTCTTTCCACAACTCCCTTTATCTAATATGGTCCTTTCTCAATCTTCCTCCTCTCCCCCCAATCTTCTTTTAAGATTTTCTTTCTAATATTCCCCATGAAATTGTGAATACATTCAATTTGTCCATGTGTGTACTATATGCACAGCTGTGCTTTAATTATAAAAAGAGTCTTTCCATACACCTCAAACCAATCCCACCCCCTTGGGGAAAATATTGGCCTCACTGAAAATGATCTAAGGTAACCATAAACTTGAATCTCCAAAAAGAGCCACTTTTAAAGAAAAGTGGGTAGTACTGACATGTATGAAGTGGAGACTGTCCTGAAAATCCTTACTTAGGCCGCTGTGGGGAGAGGGCTACTCCCAGGCCTGGAGGAGTTTGGTGAAGGCAGATTCCCAGGTCCAGCTCCAAGTTTAATTGAGCAGGTACGAGATGGGCCAGACACGCATTTCTAATGAAGCACCCTCCCCTTCTCCCAGGGTGGTTTTGATACGCCCAGTGTGACACAGGTTGGTAAGTCCCGCCCAGGGGAGCTGCCGTTACTCACTCCTACGGCCCCAGAAAGTCATGTCGGGGGAAGACCCTGGGCTCTTAACATCCAGGTCTGCAATGTGCTGCCCCCACTACAAGGTCGGTGTTGGCTTCTCAATGGACTTGTCCTTGGAGTTTTCGAGCCCCCAAGTGGGGAATGGCAAACCCATGGCTTTTATCCTGACCCAATCATGTCATCCATGTGCGGAATGAATGAGCTGAGTTGTGTCTCTCCCATCTGTCGCCCTCCCAGCTCTCTGATTTTACGATTCTTCCACTCCTGGCCTGGGCTACCTCTAAGAAGATTAACACCACTACCTACCACTAGAAAACCAGCCTATATGTTAAGAATGAGCTCATCAGGAAAGTGTCACACTTCCTAGGCAATCTGCACAGCAGGTGAGCGACCATTCACAGACCTTTGAAGACTCGCTGATCTTGTAGGGTCGAGACACTCTCGTCAGCCGGCTTCCCTCCATCATAAGAGCGGTCACAGTCCTACAACAAGAACAGGGTTTCTGAGCACACAGGGGCAGTGATGCGCCGCCAGGTCATTCATTCATTGCAGGCTCTGCTTCACCACAGCAATGACAACAAAGGTGACAGCAGTAACACGGAGGACAGGGGGAGGAAAAGCAGTGTACTACAGAGAACTCACGCTGTGAGCTCGAAAAAAATCAGGTTGTTAGGACACATTTAGCAAGTGTTCCTTTGGCATCTAAAATCTGACACCACGTCTTTTAGCTAAACCACCTCCTACAAACACTTACCTTTTGATGCTTGATCTCACCTAGATAAGCCTTTTGGTTAGAATAAGGTTATAGGGACAAGAATTATTTCAGAGCCTGGACGATGACTCTGGAACCCTGTGACGGGATTTCTTTCCATGTGCCGTGTCATTTAACCCCGTTTCTCCTTCACCCCTGAGGCAGGTGGCACTGACACTTAGGCTCCTGGGGAGGAGGGGCTCACCCAAGGTCGCAGCACAGGAAGCAGCGGGTCCCTCTCGCCACCACTGCAGGCGGCAATCCGAGGCTCTGTGTGCCGTGAGTGAGAAAAGCTTTCTGTGGCCACCTATCCCGTTTGACAGGTGAGGATACTGAGTGAGAGGCCACATAGCTGGGAAATGGCTGGGAACCAAACCCAAGCCCTTCACTGTGATGCTCTGCTGAATGCGACCCAGCCTGTGAGTGTCTCACTTCGAAAAGACCACACGGTGAGGCTGGGAATGTGGTGCGGTGAAGACTGAAATATATAAAGCGTGTTCTAGACACAGGTTCTGGTTTACGTGCTTTCCTGACTTAATCCCCACAACAATCCCACGAGGCCAGCACTGTTATTATCCTGTCAGTGGAGGAGGAAACCGACAGCAGCAGGGGAAGTAACTAGACAGTGTCAAGCAGGAAGAAGCTGGCCGAGTTGGGATTCCAACCCACAGTGCCTTCCATGCATTTAACCCCTAGGTTATTCCACCTGGCCATAAAAATTAAAGAAGAGACAAGAAAAAAGCCCGCAGGCAGGAAACCGAGCATGAAGCATGTTAATCTCTCTAGACCTCAGAATCTTGTCTATGAAATAAGCCCATTTAGCAGGCGACACTGAGGTTTCTTACAGCTTTGGAAACACCAAGCGACTCACTGGCAGCACAGAGCCAGCCTTTGGGAGACTTGGGGGGTGGGGGGCAGGGGAAGCAGAGGAGGGGCTGAGCCAGCAACATGGGGTACAAGTTACAAGCTGGGACTGAGGGTTTCAGGAAGAATTCTTTTTCCTGCCTAGTTGAAAAGAGTCAATTTGTTACCTACTGAACAAAACAATCTTTGCTAATTAACCCCCCCCCCCCCCCCCCCCCCCGCCATGTAACAAAAAGTCAGCACTGTTTCAAGATAACCTGGGACAAGGGGGGGGGGGGGGGGAGGAGGAGAGCTCTAGTATCCCCAAGGAAGGAAAAATTTCAGGCACAGTCTACGCTCTGTCCAGCTCCCGGAAGAGAGATAGGGACAACTTGACAAATTAGCAACTTTGTGACAATGACCATCTGTACCCACCCCTGTCCTTCCCGAGGGAGGGTCCTCAGCAGCTGGAGGACGCTGAGAGGGAAGAGAAGGGCAGCACATTCATGCAGTGCCTACTGCCCACCCCTCACTTCCTTGTTTCTCCTTCACCCCAGAGGCAGGTGGCACCGTCACTTCTGACACTTAGGCTTCCGTGGAGGAGGGGCTCATCCAAGGTCACACCGTACAGACGGCGGATCCCTCTCGCCACCACTCCAGGCGGCAATCCGAGGCTCCGTGCGCCAGGAGCGAGAAAAGCTTCCTTTTCTAGGCCAAGATTTCTAGAGAGTTTCCCCTTGTGTAGGTTCCCTTTTGTCTCCGGGCAAGAGGTTTGGGGCCCATTTCTACAAGTGTCGGGTGTCCGCTGCCTTCGTGCTTTCATGCACATGGACAGGATGCTCCCAAGATCTTTGTAAACACGGGCACCGAGGCCACGTCCGGCCCGGAGGGTCCCCAGGGAGCCTCTTCTCCAAGCTTCTGCCCCGGGTTTCGGGGTTTCCACCCAGAACCTGCTCGCCCTCAGCGCTCGGGGGGAACACACGTCGTGGAGATGCACACGGCCGCCCGCCAGCACTCACCGTCGCCCGCAGGGTCTCCGGGGGACGCTGCTGTCCTGTCGCTCGCTCGGACCCGGCACCCCACGGCGGAACTGCCGGCACAACGGCCGCCCCGGCAGGCTCGAGCCGGCTGCAAGGAGGCAGCGGAGGAAGCAGAGGAGGCGGAGCCGGGACGCCACCCGGCCGGCGCCCCCGGCGGGGCGCGGGGACACTCACCTGGGCAGCAGCGGCCCCTCCCCGCGCCGCCGCACACCTGCCCCGCACAAAGGGGCGCCGCGGGGCCGGGCGGGGAGGCGCTCGCCGGGCCCGGGTCCTCCCAGGCAGGCCGCCCCCGCCCCCGACGGCGGCGCGCGGCGGTCCAGGCCCGAGGCCGCCTGGAGGCGCTTAAGGGCGCGTCGCGGGGGCTCCCGGCGGAGGTGCCGGGCGGGCGGGGCGGCGGGGCGCGGGCTCCACAGCCCCGAGGCCGGCCCGGTGCGCGGCCATGGCTCCGCCAGGAAGTGCGAGGCCGAGAGCAGAGGCGCGCGCGGCCAATGGCGGCGGCGGGCGGGGGCGGGCGCAGCGGCGGCGGGCGGGGCCTGCGCCGGGGGCGGGGCCGGGGGTGCGCCGGGGCGGGGCCTACGCCGGGGGCGGGGGGCGCGCGCGGGGCCGCCACGGTCGCGCGAAACGCCTGGTGGGTTTCACGCTCTGTGCCCGGCGCGGGCACACGGCGTGGATGGGCAGGGCAAGGTCCCGCGGGGAAGTGACGGTGTCCGGGCGCTGAGGGCCAGAGGGGCACCGTGAGGGCATCTCTACTCTCACCTCCTTTTTAAAAAAAAATATATTTTATTGATTTTTTTACAGAGAGGAAGAGAAAGGGACAGAGAGTTAGAAACATGAATTAGCTGACTCTTGCACACCCCCTACTGGGGATGTGCCCGCAACCATGGTACATGCCCTTGACTGGAATCGAACCTGGGACCTTTCAGTCCACAGGCCAACGCTCTATCCACTGAGCCAAACCGGCTTTAGCTGCTCTCACCTCCTTTCAGTCTTTGCTGGAAAGTCCCCTGCGCTCATCCCAGGGTGAAGCCTTCCCTGACCTTCTACATATATATTCTACATGCCACATCCCCTCTCTCTTCACTTCCAGCTTCACACTTTACTTTAGCATCTGATATTTTAATTTTTTTTTTATTGATTTCAGAGAGGAAGGGAGAGGGAGAGAGAGAGAAACATCAATGATGAGAGAGAATAATCCATTGGCTGCCTCCTGCACGCCCCCTATTGGGGATCAAGCTCCCAACCTGGGCATGTGCCCTTGACCGGAATTGAACCTGGGACCCTTCAGTCCGCAGGCCAATACTCCATCCACTGACCCAGCATCTAATATTTTAAATCATATTCTTTTTCTTTGGCTTATTGTTGCCCCCCCCCCCCCCCCCACTCCTGCTCCAGCCAGTAGAAACCCTCCAGGGCAGGGTCTCTGGCTTAGTTAGCCCCCAGGGCTGGCACACAGTAGGCGACTCAGTGACTATTTATGGAATAAATGGATCTAACCATCACCAACCAATCCGTCCTGCTACAGAAAGATGAACCTTGAACCTATCCCAATGAAAGAAGCCAGATGCAAAAAGGACACGTGTATGATTCCATGAATATGAGAGGTCCGGAATAGGCAAATCTATAGAGACAGAAAGTAGATTAGTGGCTGCCCAGGGGCTGGGGGAGTGGGGATGTGGATGTGTGTGTGGCTGTCAAGGGCATGTACGTTGGTTGCGGGCACATCCCCAGTAGGGGGTGTGCAGGAGGCAGCTGGTCAATGTTTCTCTCTCATTGACATTTCTAGCTATCTCTCTCCTTTCCTCTCTGTAAAGAATCAATAAAATATATTTAAAAAAAAACTTTCATACTTGAAAAAATAAAAAAATAAAAGGGTGACTGTTATATGTGACTTATCTACAATAATAAAAGCGTAATATGCTAATTAGACCGGATGTCCTTCCTGATGAAACCCAGGCTGTGTGGGAAGCTTGGGTCCTGGGTGCCAGAGGGAAGCCATTGCTGGCAGCCAGGGAAGGAAGATCTATTCTTGCTTGGATTTCATGCATCGGACCTCTAGTATTTCAATAAAACTTTACAAAACCAAACCAAATAAAAAACCTCTCTCTCTTTCTGTTTTTCTATTCCCTGTCTTCTCCTGAAGGGATTTAGAGCAACTTTCAGGGCTGCATAAAGCATGGCTAGATGCAGCCACTGAAGATGTGTCCGAAAAGAAGAAAAAATATGGGTTGGGAGTCAGCACGACCAGGTACACCCCCAAGGCCTTTCTTTGTCCCTTCTGTTCTAGACACAGCACTCCACTTAGCCCCTTCCATGGATGGTGCCAGCAAGATACTTTGTGCCCCCCCCCCCCCACTCCCTCTCCATAACAACACTTCTGGGTTGGCTGTGGATGGATCACTTCTGGTGCTAAGCAAGGATGCAACAAGGATTTATGTGTGATGGAAAGACTGTGTGTGTCTAGGCTACAAGAGAGGCAGTGGCACAGGTTAAGTTCCATCGCATTCTTCTGAATGAGCTCTGCCTCCGAGCCTCAGTGTACTCATCTGTGAATGGGGTCAGTAAGACAGATATCCTGCCTCTGGTCTCCTTGAAAAGTATTACAGTTATGTTTTTTTGTTTTTGTTTTGTTTTTGTTTGTTTGTTTGTTTTTTACTTTTGACAACTAGGTTTATATTAAGTATCATTATTTGTTCAGAAACAAAAGTATAGAAAAAAAATTTTAATTAAAGGGAGTGAGAATAAAACTAGCCCTGGAATCACCTAGAGCAGTGATCGGCAAACTCATTAGACAAGAGAGCCAAATATTAACAGCACAACGATTGAAATTTCTTT